TGGAGCAGGGATGGACACCAAGGATGGAGCAGGGGACACCAAGGGTTGCTGGTAACCACCAGAAGTGGGGAAGAGAGGCATTGAGTCTCCCACTGAGTCCCCAAGAGGGAACCAACCCTCTTGACATCTTAATTTGGGACTTCTGGTCTTCAGAACTGTGAGAGAATACATTCCTGTTGTTGTAAGCCCCCTAGTTTGTGGTATTAATTCTTTGTTACACCAGCTCTTGGAAACAAATTTGGAATCTTAATCTGGTTTTACTAAACATCTAGTGCTTGAATTCTCTTGCCCAATGGTCAGCCTGCCAGCTTGTTTGTCTCTCGCGAAAGAAAACCAAGTTAATATCTACCAAAGCAGCAATTCCTCCCATCTTTGGAAAGGTCTGATTGCCATAAAAACTATTGATTAGCAAACATTGTGTTTACTGAGCACCTACCGTATGGCAGGTACTGTTTTGTGCCCTCTTGACAAAGAGGCAAATGGGAAACGGGCCATAAAAGCTTTCTCAAGTAAATAAGGTCATTTCTGATATTGCTACGAAGAAAACAAAAGTCTGCAGTATGACAGAGTAAGAGGAAAAAGGAACATTACTTTGATTATCAGGGAAGGTCTCAGGAAGGATGTGATATTGGAGCAGTGGCCCGAATGACAGAGAGCTGGCCCTGGGGAAATGTAGCAAGAAGAACAGCCAGTGCAAAGGCCCTGAGGCAGCGTGATTCCCCACATGCTCAGGTTCAGAAAGCAGGCAGGACCTCTGTGAGTGAGAAGGTGGTAGTTGATGAAGCTAGAGAAATGAGCAAGGCCAGCACCTGCACAGCCACCCTCGCAGACCGGGGTAAGGAGTTTGAACATCACCCCCACCGTACTGGGAAGCTGCCAAGGAGAGACGTGATTCAACTCACAGTTTTTGAATGATCACTCTGGCATGATCAAGTTCTTAAAACTAAAGTCTTTGTAACGGTTGTCCTTTGGTTCTAAGGCCTCTACAGAAGAGTTTAATGAATGATAGCCCTGAACTTTCTGTCATAGTGACTCCAGAGATTCCCCCAGCTTAACCAGGTCTAATTCATTTACTGCTGTAACGGTTTCCAATGAGTGTGCTTGATTTTCTGTTTCTGTGCCCTTCATTATATGTGATGTCCAGAAAAGAACACAATGTTCTAAGTATGGGGGCACACTTCTGATGCACACTTCTGATGCGTCCTGGGGCTTGGGTTTTCAGTTCTGTTTCATACCGGGGACCTACTGAAGCATCCCTCTGGCAGCCTCCCCCTGAAGTCCTGTCCTCTCTGTGATACCCAGATCTGGGCAGTGAGAGTAAAGCCTGTTCTTCCCTAATGAGAACCACCTATGCCCTGTTTAAAAAACAGAACTGTCAAACCATAACCCACACGATGTCACATATAAAAGACTGATTAGAAACAAAACTACTGGGTCAGCTCCTCGGGTTTCATGACCATTGCGCTTCTCTTCCCGGAGGAGGACAGCAAAGCTATTATAGCTAGTTTCCTCTAGAATTGCCTTCCCCTCTTGCATCACACTTCTGAAGACACCTAGACTATTGGGAAACACAGAACGCTTGAGCAAAAGACACTCTTTGCAATCATACTTCCTACTAGATTTCTCAAAGACTTATAAACAAATCTGAGCCCACAGAGACTACCACAGGCTTGGAGTGGGGGAAGCCAGGAGGGCGCAGCTGTGCTGCCAAGCTGGGCTGACTCGGTGAGCCGTGAGCCCCGCGTGATGGGAGAAAAGGACGTTCTTCTAGGTCTCGGGAAAGCCCTGGGGCCCTCGTGTGAGGGATGATCCTCTGGGATCCTTCCACATCTCATTCTGCAGGGCGGTGTGGGCTGCCACATCCACTATGAGACTGCTGGGGTTAACACCTGGCTTCCTCTCCCCACAAAGTCACTCAGCCTCGGTTTCCTCATCTGCGACATGGGAACGGTAACACCACCTATAACGTCCAAGTTTATCCTGAAAATCAGTCACGCGTCTATATGTGAAAGCCCTTCGTGTTATTTCAAGAGGATTTGACGCCTCCCTTTGTATAATCTTTCCAGCTGCTGGTTGACTTTCAGGACTCTTTTTTGTTATTGTTGTTAATCTCCTCGGGCTGCTTTAGGTGTTTCTTTTAACCCGATTGTTTTCCATTTTGGGGAGAAGGGGGCTGGGGAAAGAAGCACGTGGCAGCCATCACCCCACCGAAACCTTTCCTAGGGACTGTTCTAAAAGAAGCCGCCCTCAGAGCCATTTAGGATAACCGCAAATCAATTTTCCTTTGAAAGAAAAAGTTACTGTCGTAACAAGAGAACCCCATCTAGTATCTGTGGATACTCTTTACTTTCTGGAATTCTGCAGCAAATTATTTAAGGTCTGTGACTTGCTTGTGCCACCAACTTGCTCCTCACTGCCTTTCCTTGTTACATTCCCAAATAATACAAACCAATCATCGCATCGACTGACGTGCTGAATCTCATACAAAAGGCAAACATTCCAGGAAACGCAGAATGTGACACAGGGAGGCTTCACAGTAACCTGCTCACCACTAAGAGGGCCCAGGTGTGAGTCCCCAGCCATCTTCGTGGCTTAATGGAAAAGGAAAATCTCAAAAGCCAACTTTGTCACTGTGAGCCCATCTCAACAGCCTTTCTGTCAGGTGCTTCAAAAGTCGTAAGCAATCCTATTTCTTAACAAAGTCGAAATAAAAACAAGAGATCGTCAAAGGGAGGCACTCTGAACAACGTGGGGACGAGTGCTTCCCAGCAGAAATGTGGGGAAGACAGTGCCGCCCAAGCTTTTTTTTTTTTCTTTTTCCTTTTGCTTGTCAGTGTTAAGCTTCTGGGCCGCCCTGCTTGTAGCGATTGGGAGGGGGTGCCTCTAATTAAATGAATCTGACATTGGCATCGGGTCGCAGCCTGGCTCAGGCAGCCTCCGCGCTGACAGCTGTCAGCCTGCCTCTAACACTGACTCACCCCAGCTACAACCTCCACGTCAGGGCGCCTCACCGGTGCCAGCTCAGAGGCCAGGTCCTGCTCATTCCGCAGGTTGGCACTCACGCCTAGCACTTTACCCAGACAGAAAAAGGAGCTGGCTGGTGTCCACCGCAAAACCTTTCTCCCCTTCCCCTTCTCATCTTTCCAAATCCAATCTACCTGCAACCTTGGGAAGCACAAGCCCAGTAGAAAGGGGGCCACGCGCTCAACTCCAGGAAGACTAATTCTGTCCTTTCAAACCTCCTGGAAACTGCTCCAGTCCCCCGTAAACCAGCTGCCCTGCACTGAGCTTCTGAAACTGCACGAACGTTGCTGTCCCTTCTGCAAACCTCACCGGCCCATCATGAGCAGAGGGAAGCCCGGTGACAACTCAGGAGAAACCCACAGGGGCGGCCACTCGGCCAAGAAGCCCCTTCCCTCGTTCACGCCTCTGCCGGCCCCACACGCAGGACCTGACAAATGTCTTTCCTATCCGGCTCCCTGCACCCCTCCCCGCACGCCTTTCCGAGTCCCGGTTTTTTTGTTTTTTTTTTTTTTCCGCCCCCAAGACAGAGTAACCAGCGCCATCCCAAAGCCACTTGGGGACAGCATCTGCCGACATCTGCCACCTGGGACACCTCCTGTGGGCAGCGGCCCAGGCTTCCCTCACGCCGGGCGTCCAGCCGCCCCTGCCCATCTCCTGACCTACCTACCCCGGGGCCCGCGCCCCCGCAGACCCGCCTCCTGCCACCCACGGGCCCGCCCGGCAGCCCCACGGCACTCCCACCTGTCACCCCTTGCAGACCCCGGAGAGCAGCGTCCTGTGTCCCCGCCGTCCTTCCTGGGTAAACCCTCCCCTCGCGAGCCCGACAGGCGAGCCCGAGGCCGCTCCGCGGCCCCTCTCACCGCAGGCGGGCCGGCCAGCTAGAGGGCGCAGTCAGGCTCGGCGGCTGCGGCTTCTGCGCCGCCCGCAAGCAGCCGGGTCCTTCCGAGGCGCCGCGGCGCGAGCTGCCAGTCAGCTGGAGGTGCCCGCCCCCCGATTCCATCGGCGCAGGCGCAGGATGGGTGCCGCCCTCCTCTCACGGCGGGAGGGCGGGGCTGCGTCACGTGACGGGGCGGGGTCTGCTCCCAAGAGGCTGCCCCCGCCTGTGGGAGAGCGCACCGAGGTCCTGGAGCCCGCGCGCTCGCCGGACCCAGCCCAGGGTGTTCTCCCTCCCGGGGAAGAGTCGGGTGGGGCAGGCCTTTCTGCACGCGGGTGGGTGGGTAATTTGGTGATTTGAGGGGCAAGGCGGGTGTGGAGCCCCGGCACGGAGCCATGAAATAAGGTCTGGTTCTGGTCCTGTGTTTCTCCACCTTTAAAGCAAGTATGCCTCTTGCTGCCCCCAATTGCCCAGACTTGGGGTGAAGCCTTGACATTAACCAGCATGCCTATAAAGTAAGTCTGGCTAGGATACACAGGAGGGCAATCTGACCTTTATTTATTTATTTATTTTTGAGACAGAGTATCACTATGTCGCCCTCGGTAGAGTGCTGTGGTGTCCCAGCTCACAGCAACCTCAAACTCTTGGGCTTAAGCGATTCTCCAAGTAGCTGGAACTGCAGGCGCCCAGCACAACGCCCAGCTATTTTTTTGTTGCAGTTATTGTTGTTCAGCTGGCCCGGGCCAGGTTCGAACCCACCACCCTGGTTGCATGTGGGTATAACCACTGTGCTACGGGGGCCAAGCCAGACCCCTATTTTTTTGTTTTTAAAGGGGGCGACTTAGACTGATATGTGCACTTTAGCTGCTCTGAAAGTTCCAGGCCTGTCTGCATCTTTTCAGCAAATACAGTAAACACAGTGTTCAGGCCATTCGTTTCTTCTACCTGTCTTCAATTAAAACGTAAAAAATACAAGTGCTGCCTCCTATGGAAGCTCTTGTAGTTCTCAGGGAGGTATAGAAACAAACTGACAGCCTTGCCCAGTAATTTTGGGGTTA